CAAGCTATTTATTATTTTGTGGAGGAAATAGACTAATTTCAACATGAAGCTACACAGTCTAATGTAGGGAATCATAGGGTAAGTTGGGGAGCATAGAGGGTGGGGTTTGACAGGGGCCTAGCAGTGGGAAAAGGGTCTGAAGATAACATGGAATGTGGACCAGGCATCAGAGAACCACTGTCATTAGGACAGTGGGACGGGAGACTGCAGAGTACCAGAGGGATGATGAGAGATGAGGCTGGAGTGCAAGCAGGGCTCAGAGCACCATGGCACTTGTAAATCATGCCCATGAACCTGGCCCCCTGAGCACAATCCGAATCCATTAAAAGGCTTCAAGCAAGGGAACAACATGATCTGATTTGTGATACCTGCTGCTGCCACCTTTGGCATCCAGTTTTGAAGCAGTGATTTTTAGAAGCATCAATCCAACGATTTACATTCTGAAATACTTAGACTGCTAACTGGGGCTCTAGTAGTGTGGGCTTAGCTGAGCCACTTTACCTCCCTAGTCCACTGTGTTATTCTCTACAAGGGCCTTCTTAACTCTGTTCTTCTACAAGGATGTGGTTTGTTTTGTGTTTGTAGACAGACTTGCTTACAGTGTGTATACACATTTATGTAGAATGAATTATCTTTGATTACTCAGAGCTCTGTCCTGCCCACAAGCTGGCTGATCTAAGACTCTTTAAAGACCTTTACTTCCACCATGCGGCCCTGCCTCTCAGTAGGTCAAGCCAGGAGGGCATTGGTACCTGTCAGAGAGAAGGATGTGGGTTTGGATGAGTCACTGCGTGCGAGAGTGAATGATGGTCGGAAGAAGTAGTCATAACGCAGTGGAAGCATGGCAGTGAACGGCTTTCATAGTCTCTACTCTCTTTGATCACACCCAGGACAGTTTTTTATTGACTAGCATATAGCGTGTGGCAGTGCTTTAAGTACTCTAGGCCCACAGTCAAAATAAACCAGCTCTTGCTCTCTTTAGTGGACAAATCTACCAAACATGTAAAAAAACAGAAATATACTTGTTTTAAGTCAGAAACATGTCTTGAAGAAAAAAGAAACATCAGAGACCTTAGTTGGTTATAGAATAAACTTTCTCATGAGTTTGCTGGAGAACATGGACCCCAAATTCAATTTTTTCATAAGGCATAGAACGGAAATTTCATGATATATTCCACTGAACAATTTTTCTTCGTTTTCTAATTATTAGCATCAATGATGCTAATTTAAAGAATTTTATATGTTTAATGTTGGTGTATAGGTAATGTTGGTATACTGATGAAAGGTTACCATGCATTTACTCAACTAGTGTTTACTAAATACCTAACATCTGTCAGGTAATTAGTGTAATCAGATGAAAAAACTCTCACTCAGAAGTTTATTCTAGACTGCATAGTTAATTATGAGATAGTATAATAAGTATGGTGATGAAATGTGCTTAAGGGAGCACAAGTAAGGGTATTTGGCCTAACTTTGTGGGTTGGGGCAGGAGGTAGTTAGTAGAGGGATTGCCATCTGTGTCTCCAGAATTCTCAATAGTTCAAATCTAATTCAAGCAAAACCATGCTATATGAAAATATTGGAGTAACCAAGAGAATTCAGGAATTAGGGGAAAATGAAATATTTAGAGGAAGACTGTGAAACTGGGCATGTTGGCTTCTATCTATAAAAATGAAGGTAAGGTGAGCTAACCGGTCTCTTAGTCATCCACTCATTCATTCAACACTATGAGCCTCTATGTTCCAGGCACTGTGCCCAGGCTTGGGATTACAGAGGTAAACAAGATTGACCAAGCCTTTCTTGGCTGTCATGGAGCTTAATTTGTAGGGGATCCTATGACTTAAGAACTCTATGTGTTTTGTTATGTGCAGAGACAATCTTAAATTGCCCCAATTAAAATCAGGCCTTTGGGTTTGGATCTTGGAACAGAAAAGGACATTAGTGGAAAAACTGGAATCTGAATAAAATGTGGGTTAGTAAATATTATTGTGCCAGTGCTAATTTCTTAGTTTTGATAGTTGTACTATGGTTGCGCAAGATGTTAACATCAGGGGAAGCTGGGTGAAAGGTCTAAGCAAACTCTCTGTACTCTTTTTGCAAGACTTTCGTAAGACTAAAATTACTTAAAAAAAATGGAGCTAAACAAACCAAAAAAATGTGCCTTGGTTGTGCTCTGCCTTCTGTTTTCTGTGTTTCTTGTGCCATCTTTAGCCTCCTGCCTCCTTGTCCCACTGCTTACTACTGGTTGAGGCAGAACGGAGTGGATAAAGGTCAGGGTGTTGTTGAACTCTTGTTTGCCTGCATTCCCATTCTGCTCTAAGTCTTCAGATGTCAAAGGCTGTCTTCTTGAGCACCTGTGTTGCATAATTATGGGAAGCAGTGATTACTATCATAATGTTGGCCAATGCCATGAATTCCAAGGCAGAGGAGTAGAGATCTTACAAGACAATCCCTTTTCTAAGCCTCCCGGGCTTTGATTGTGGGTTTTAATGTTGCTCCTTATTTTGTGTCTGGATCTAAGGATGCTAGAGTTGGAAGAGTTCTTGAAGATCATCTGGTCTAGCTCTTCCATTTTACAGATAAGGAAACTGAGGCCTGGACAGATGAAGGGATTTGTCCAAGATCACATTTAAAATGAGTTAGTGGGAAAGCCTGAAGTAGAATCAGCTCTATTGACTTCTAGTAAGGTATTTTCTCTATTCCAAGCTGCTTCCTAGAACCATCAAAGAGCTGAGAAAACTCCACAGGTGACAGCTCATTCTATTATAAACAGACCATTACCGTTTACAATGTACAATATCAGAACCTGTTGGGAAGTCTAACTCAGGAAATAACCCTGTGGGCTATACGTGATTGCCAAGAAATACTGACCAAATTAGATTGTTCACTAAAAATTGATCAAAGTATTGCTTCTCTCTTCTGTGATTGATTTTGCATTCATTTACATGTCTGGATTGACACCCAAAATAAAAAGTGCCAAAATAGTACTATCCTACACAATTTTGTTACCTAAAGGACTTAAATCTAACTCAAGTATCCAGGTTGGTTCTTATTAATGGTGCATTAGATGAGGTCCACATATCTGCAAAAGTCATATGAATTAGGCACTTAGAAGTCTTGCCAATTCTTGCTCAACACCAAGACTATGTGTCAAAGAGAATGGTTGCAAATTAGAGATGACACACAGCAGCTATGACTATAGGTGGCATCTAATCCCAGTTTGTTTCCTTGTCTTTCAGATAAGCTCAGTAATGTGATCAATAAATCTAGACAGTTACAACTATTAGAAAAGTTAGGTGTATTTCTTTCTCAGCCCATATAATTTCCTCCCAGATTATCATGGCCGTTTCCCCCATCCCATGACCACTGCCTTTGGCAGTGAGGCTCAGCCCTGCGCCTTTCCCCTTGAGGCCACCTTCTCGCCTGCTGCAATGCTCCTTGGTCACAGCTGCCTGTGTCCACTGCAGAGCATCGTCTCAGGCCGCGGGGGCTGTTCTGCAGACTGTCATTCTCTGCGGTCCTTGAGAAGGCACTTTGTCATGATTATGCACATCTGGTCTTGGACCAAATCAATGAATGAAGACGTCTCCAAATCTCTCTCTGGTCTGGTGCCTTCCATCTGTCTTCTTTCGCCACCGAACATTTCCCAACCTTTAGCCTCTTCCCCTCCCCCTCCATTTTCCTCCTTTACCTTTTCTCCCATATCCTTCTCCTCCCTTGCCCCCTTTTCTTTCCACCAAATATCTCCAGAGAACTTCGCTGCGCCTGGAACAGAGTTAGGTCCTGGGAATACAAAGACGAATAGGATGAACTCTGTTCCTCAAGTGTGGACCTCTCTGGTTCCCTGGCTCTCACCCCGTGCTGACCAGACTCTGCCTGTCCCTACCTCCCATGGGAGAGTCCAGCCACTACCTCAGCTCCTCAGCGCTCTTCCTTTGTCTCTGCACACTATAAACCTCTGTCTACACCAGGCGGTGTCTGAGGTAACACGCTGATGAGGAATAACTGTCAAACAGCATGAAGATATTTAATGATGGTTTAAAAAGAGCCTGGGAATAAAGCCGTATAAGAAATTTGTTACATATTTAATTTAGGAAAGATTGTTACAGTATCAGGGGAGGAAAGGAAGACAATATATTGCTCTCCATAAAAATGCAGTAAAAGAGAAAGCACAAACAGCCCTTCTGTTATGTTGAAATATCGTCATTCTGTGATTAAATGGAGGCGGCAAAGTGGGTTCTGTTCAGTCCTTGCACCAAGGAGGTGTGGGGGAGGGGAAGAGGCGCCAAGGCTGTAGATTTGGGTCTTTTCTAGAGCTCCAAGGAAATTAAAATGCAAACAAAGCACCTTGCCCAGGGATTCCGAGGGTCTTCAGAGGAAGAGTCCTGGCACTTGGTAAGACAGATGGGTCCTAAATGAACTTAAATTTCAAGCCATTTCGACACCTCTCTGTTTCCCTCAGCTTGACAGCAGTAACAGGAAGCAAGGTCACATCATTTCTTTTTTAATGTACAAAAACTAATATTATGTCTCCTCTATCCTGGGAATCTAAGAAAAGAACCATCTTGCAAATGAGTCAGCCTGGAGTGTCCAGATAGCTCAGTCAATTTTTGGCTCTGTGCTTTAGCACATTCTGTTAATAGGGTGGATTGTGTTTGTGCAGAAGGCTTCGGAAAGTGGCAGGCATTTCCCAGCCCATCACTCATTTGAGCTACTGAACCCGGGATCAATAAATATTCCATTATTGCATTATTTATGGCAAACTATATACAATTTCTATCATTAAATCTTTGCCTTTTAGTTGTTCCTCATTAGCAAGGGATCAGTTTTGGATCCCTGTCTGGGTCATGCCCAGAATTAAAGAAAAGTGATGTGTGAGAATGTTTATTCATATGCATATTTATATTGTGTATTAGAAGAGATACATGATGCAAATTATTTCTGTATCTAGTATTTCCATAGTGTTTCAGTTCCAAAGGTCACCTTGAGCCTCATTGCAGATGCTGTGGTGCCCTGGGGAAGGAACTGGACCGCATTAGGTGAGTTGGAGTTCTTATCAGGTATCGCCACATCTCTGAGAATTGGTTGTGTGTGACGTGTCAGGTAAGTCATTTGCCCTGTTTTCTTCTTTTGTAAAATGAATGGGTTGAAGTGGGTGATGCCTAAGTTTCTCAATAGGTCCTACATTAGTGAATGGAAGAGGATGGTAGAAGCAGGCGGTATACGACATAAGGGAACAGGATTTAAATAGCCTCCTTTGCTGATGTTTAGAATTCGCATTAGAACAGTGATAATGAAGGTCCCTGTATTAAGTCTGAGTGCACTCTGGAAGAGCAGCCATTGGCCGTGAATGGTTAGTGATCCACTCTTTCCTAATATAGGGCACAATTCTGCCTGGGAGAACGCAAGTTGTATCTGAGTTGGAAGATTGTCTGTGAGCTGGAGGCAAGCGAGACGATGTTTTATTCAGTACACAGTATTGTTTTTTGTTTTGTTGCTGTTTTGTTTTTAATGGGAATTTGAATGCTTTCGATGGGCTCATGCTGTCATTTCCACAGTCCTCACCACTTGGCCTCCTGTCCTTTGACCTTCCTATCCTAGAGGTATTTAAATTGGCAAAAGCTAGCCCAAGGAACTCAGAAGGCAGAGCTGGTCAGTCACTCAGGCAACAGCTACTGAGCACCTACCACGTGCCAGGCGAAGTGGGTGGCACTGGAGATACCAAGGGAGACACGGTGGATGCAGTTCCTTCCCAGTGGAGTCACGTTCTAGCGAGGAAAACTGGCTGAAACATCTCTTACAAATGCTTAAATAATGCCGAGCGTGCTAAATGCTGTGAAGGAGCCTTGCAGCGTGCTGTATGTGCAGATAACAGGAGAATCTAATTTCGTCTCGGAGCAAGGAAAGGCTTCCTTCCCCACACAAGGGGTTTTTAAGCTGAAACATGAAATACAAGTAGAAATTATTCAATGAGGAGTATACCAGAAAATGTTGACTGAGAGAAAAAGGCACAAAGGCACAACAATTTTGAAAATGAAGAGTTGATGTCTTGAGCGAGGTTAGCATGGATTAGCAAACACATCTCTATGCCTGTGTCTTTGAAACTCATTAGAAAAGGACCGTGTGAAAAAAAAAAAGAATAAATTTCCCATCTTTTGCCCTGAAACTTGCTCCCTGGCCTTCCTTGACTTTCCCATTTAGGTCAGTGAGTTATTCACAGAAGCTCCCAGTTACCCTGGGCCAGCAAACTTGGAGTTGGCCTTGGCTCCGCATGCTCCATCTCACTGCACAACTCTTCAGTCTCCAAATCCCGTTCCTTCTTTCTGTGGAACGTCTTGGACTTCCCCTACTTCCTTTCTTCTTGCTCACCCTTCTTTGGGCCCTCACACCTCTGCAATCGGTTGATCACAAAGGAGTCTGAGCTACTATCTTTACCCCAAAGGGCTGCCATTCCCCACCCAGTTTAGGATGTGTCTTGCTAAAACACTTCCTCACACAGACTGACCTTCTCAGTGGATGTCTTTGGCCTCCTGTCACCTAAAGAACAAAGGCTTAACCTCTTAATCTTCCATTAGGGCCCCAAACCACCATGAGAGCTTATGTTTCTTTATTCCCCATCTGAGTCCTTTAGCCTGGCCGCACCTGAGAACACAGACAATCTGAGGTGATGAGTGAGCAAAACAGACACTTGAGAAAATGGCATGACTCTTTTATCCCAATACAGTGGTCTGATAGTGACTTTGGTTTTTTGTATACTCCTTTTGCTCATATGCACATATATTTAACAAATTTTCATCATGGTATAATGGACCTTTGAATTCTGCTTATTATGCCCTGTCATAGATTATATTTTCCAAGATGCCTGCAGCATGATCTCCCATTATCTTCTCTTCTTCCAATATGACCTTGACACTCCTTCGGTTGAGAGGAAGGAATGATATTCACTCCTCTTGAATCTGGGTGGGTCTGTGACAACAACCAAAGTGATGCTATGTGACTTCTGATGCTGGATCATAAAAAGTGATCTGGCTGCTACATGGATTTCTTGGGGTGCTTGCTTTTGGAATCCAGGCAACGTGCCATGAAGAAGCAGGGAATACATATTGGGAAGCCACATGGGGAGGCCATGTATAGCTGTTCTGCACAAGAGCCCTAGCTGAGTTCCCAGTCCACAGCCAGTATCACTGTGGCCTCACCAGTCTGGTGAGTGAGGAAGCCTTTGAACTGATTCCAGTACCTGCAATCACCTAAGAGCCTAGTCAACCCCTAGAGCTGTGAAGAATAATGAAGAAGTGATTGTTGTTTTAAGCTGCTTAGTTTTGGGATTATAGCAATAGATATCCAGACCCATATTTTAAGCCAGTAAAATATAGACACAATTTAAAATTAGAAGTTTATCCGAAGAAAAAAATTCAAAAGGCAAAAGAAATGCTTTGTTACAAATATGATTATGCCAAGATTACTTGTTACCTGAAAATAATAGGGAGAAAAACCCGGACGTCTCATTTGGTTGGTTTGTTTTTTCCTATATCTAGTTACATTTGCTTTACCACCTAGCTTGTCAACTCCTTGAAGGCAAGGACTGTGTTGGTACATAGTAGGTTCCTCTACTCTATATTATTTTTTAACAGAATGATATATTCTATAAATATTTGTTCATGATTTATTTTCATAACTTTTCAAAGGATATTCAAATTATTTCATTTTCTCCTTTCAAAGCCTTGCCTCATTTTACAGGTGAGGGTAAGGGTCTTGCTCTGTTCATGCAGCTATGAGATGGTAGTAGTATGTCCTGTGTGTACCCCCACCAGGGGGACTCTTTGTCCTGAATTTTCTTTCTCACAATATTTGTAGAAACATAATGGATATTCCTGTGTCTGGGGAGGGCTGTGTCTTGTCTGTCGCCTTGATGTGTTTTTGAAAGGTCTTGCTAAAGCTCTATAGAAAACAATAGCTCAGAATAGGAGTCAAGATGGGAAAAGTGCCCATGGACCTTGCTGGGGATTGCATTTTAGGCTCAGCGATAATGCATCAGAAAGGCTCCACCCTAAGATGACTCTGTTTTTTTTGTGAAAAAGCAAGTTAGTTAGTTGCTCTAGTATCTTTAATAAGTGATCTTTGCAAAGACTGGAAATAAAAGGAAAGATAATGCAAAGAGCTCCAGCTGTGGAGTCAGACCTGGATTTGAAGCCTGACTCTGCCGCCTACCAGTTCTGTGGCTTTGAGCCTGTTTACTGACCTCTAGAGCCTCAGTTTCTTCACCTCTTAAATGGGAAACACAGCAGTTCCCACCTCATTGGGTTGTTGAAAGGAAACAATGAGATGATGGATTTAAAATGCTCTCCATAATGCATGGATCTTAATAAACACTGGACAGTTAGTATCTTATCGTATAGAGCAACATTTTGGTTAAACTTTTTTAAATATAAGAGCTGAAATATCACTTGGAACTATCTAGAGATTCTCATTCGAAATTTTTGTGTGACCTTGGGCAAATCACTTCACAACTCTGGGCCCCTGGGAAGATTTAGGTAGAGAATTTCCAAGGTTCCTATCTTCTGAATTAAAAATTCTGACTTTTAAATAGTACTTAAATGACATTAAATCACTTTGGGTTTGTTAATCTCCTAATTGGTTTCCTGTAATTACCATTTAGTTTGTCTTTCAAATACCAGGTGACCTTCTGCCATTGTGGTGTTTGATTTGCTAACAGTTTGAAGGTGTTTACCCTCTGCAAACATTTCATTAGTAGTGATCACAATCTTTACAGTATCACTGCGTTTTTGCTAAGAATGCAAAAATTCCTCCATCCTCATGGCGCAACATTCAATTGGATGTGGGGTCAAAAGCTGTTCTTAAGGCCATGTTGGCTTTCTGCTGGTGGTGTCCAGCCTTGTCTACCAAATAACGTGCCTATTATCTTCATTAATTCTGTCAGAATTAAGTAAAACTAAAATCACAGATGATATTTGTGTGATTTATGGGGCTTATCAATAGCAAAGTGTTACAATATCAATAATCCTATAAGTTTGATATTATTGTCCCCATTTACAGATGAGAAACTAAGCCTCAGTATATGGCTTGTCATATAAATACAGATAAACAGGAATAAGTAATTTCAGAGCGGAGTCTTTAAGCCTTGTCTTGGTTGTCTAGATTGCCCATTCTGTTACACAGTGTGGTTCTCTCTTGGAGAGATTCTGTGTCATTCACGCTGCCTAGATTGAGGGGAAAATTGCTAACCAATCTCTAAATATTTCTCTTGATTATAAATGAACATATCACCAAAGTAGAAAAGGGGATACATCAAAAATGTAGATAGGCAGAGATAGAGGGGGAATAGTCTCCAAAAATGGTATCTTTCAACAATTTTTAAAAAAGAAATAAGTTAACATTACAATTTTCAAAATTATGATGAGGGGATCTCAGAGGCTACACTGGCAGCAACATCAAGGGCGTTAAGAGAAGGTAGTGAAAGTGTGGGGCATTTTTGTCCTCTTCACACTCTGCAGGCCCCACCCTCCAGCTTGTGCCTGCCCAGTCACTCCAGGGCCAGATCTGTACAACCCAGCTACACCTTGGAGTTAAGTGGCTAGGAAAGTAGGAGTTTAATTATTATACTATGGTAAATCAGAGCAATGTAGCGAGTATGGGTAGTGAGCGTAACTGAGTGGTACAGGGAAAATTGCTGTGGCTGGAGGTAGGCGACGTCTCTGAGCTTCAGTTCCCTTTCATCTCTAACATTCTATAACTGTAACAGTAAAACGTTTCCTAGAAACTACAAAATTAGAATAGAAATCAGTCCTCAGATTAATTCTGCTGAAGAGACTCGATGTGTGACATCAGATCTAGGCCTTATTTTCCCCACTTATTTAACCAGGCACCGGAAATTGGGACAGCTCATTTCCTAAGAGATGTTATTTACATAAACCAAGTTTACGGAATGAATATCCTGCCCTCCTACATGTATCCTCTGAAGAAAGAGTCTTGGGGTGCAACATGGACTTGAGAGTCCAGACAGGGATGAACAGAGGGCCAG